AGGCTTCATTCGCGACAATTATTGTGACCAAGTGCTATCAGAGCCAAACTCTTCGCACTCACTCTCTGTGCTCAAAAGTAGCTCAAGTTCTAGTAAGTGCCAACAGTAATCATTCGCAGGGAAAGCCGTTTATGGATCTCTTTCACAGTCTGTTTTTCTTTTGCAAAAGTTACTCAGAAGCAAGGCAGTGTCGGGGGTTTGCTCCTCTGACATGAGCCTGTACTAATTCACCACCAAAATCAACTAATAAATCGTAAAATAGGAATTATTTCAGTGACCTGTCAGATTTTTGATCTTTTTTTGCTCATCACTGTCATAAACATCAACTAATCCAAACATTATGCAGTGTAAAAAATCCTTTTCTTTATTTAGAAACACATTTGTCGGTAACATGAATTATTCGTTTCAAAATTATTAAACAAAAATCAGTTAAGCCATGCCTGATACTGTTACTGGATACGCCGTAAAAGACCGATAGGAATCTTCTAAATAAAAGTGAACAGATGCTGGATGCCTTTTGCATACATGACCATGATGGGGGAAAGTTTTCAGCCTAGCAACACAAAAATAAAGAAACGTTTTCGAGCAAAACTTACTTGTTGTCGGAAAATTTCATTCAGAGATGGCTGCTTGTTCAGTGGTTCTTTTGGTGGCCTCTTTTCATGTGTATGCGGCTTCAAACCTGATGCTTTCATCATGCGCTCCTTGTCGGCTGGCTAAATTAACACTTGTTATCAGTTTAATCCCATATTCAAGTACACCAAAACCACTCGCAAATAAATGATGCAGGTATAAAGCGAGAAACTAAACGGAACAGAAGGGCCACAGAAGCCCAAACTAAAACTGGACGTTCCAAGCAGGGTCAACAGGAAGGTCGAAGCATTCCTTTTCAAATAACGGGTCATACAAATCAAGGAAAATTCAGCACGGCTGAAATCCATAAGTTTTACGGTAGGAAGGGTGGAACTTGTCAGAGAATTGTAGTGGGGAAGACAGTTGGCAAGTTAATGTGGCACAATTCTTAAATTATGAGGAATTTAAAGTATCAATGTATTTAAGGTGTCAGATTATGAGTTATTCCAGGCGTTCCTTACGTCATCCAAAGTACCAAAAAGACGATTTTTAATACCCCCC